AGGCAAGGCCAACACCGGTTCCTTGATCACGGCTGCTTTCAGCTCCTCAAAAGCGGCTTGACACTTATCATCCCAATCCCATACTCGGTTTTTCTTTAAAAGATCAGTGAGGGGAGCGGCTATCGCAGAGTAACCTTTGATGAATTTTCGATAATAGTTGGCCAATCCAAGGAAAGAACGAAGTTCAGGTACCTTCCTTGGCGGCTCCCATTCCTGTATAGCACGCACCTTGGACTCATCCATCCGTAGTTTGCCCCCTCCGACAATGTGCCCTAAGAAAGTTACTTCCTGTTGAGCAAAGGCACATTTCTCCTTCTTCACGTACAACTCGTTCTCCCTGAGGACTTGGAAGACTTGCCTAAGATGCTTCACATGCTCCTCCAACGTCTTGCTATAAATGACAATGTCATCCAAGTATACCACCACGAACTTGTCCAAGAACGGTTGTAGGACTCGATTCATGAGGGTGCAAAATGTTGCTGGTGCATTTGTGAGTCCGAAAGGCATTACAAGAAATTCATACGAACCATACCTCGTGACACATGTTGTCTTTGGTTCGTCTCCCTCAGCTATCCGTACTTGGTAATATCCCGACCTTAGATCCAACTTGGTAAACCAACGAGCCTGGCCAAGTTGATCAAAGAGATCGGCAATAAGTGGGATTGGGTACTTGTTCTTCACCGTGATCTTGTTAAGCGCCCGGTAGTCGATGCATAACCGAAGTGACCCATCATGCTTCTTCTGGAACAATACCGGGGCTCCATAAGGTGCTTTTGATGGACGGATATATCCCATGTCCACCAACTCCTTCAATTGTCTCCTAAGTTCCTCAAGCTCCGGAGGCGCCATACGGTAAGGCACTGCCGCAGGTGGTGTGGCACCAGGCACCAACTCTATCTTGTGGTCCACCTCTCTCTTTGGTGGCAACCTCTTGGGCAACTCGGGCGGCATCATGTCCTTGAATTCTTCTAGGACATGCTCAATACACCTTGGGAGGTTTTTAGTTGGCGAGGCTACTGCTTCTTCTTCCAAAGCAACTAGATATGTGGGCTGCTTCTTCTTTATGCCTTTGGAGAGTTGCATGGCCGAAATCTGCTTCTCTCGGAGTTGGGTTTCCCGTTCTAGAGGTACTAGTCGGGTGTTACCTTCTTCCAAGATGCACATCGTGTTGGCAAAGGGGATTGGCACAGCCTTAACCTTGTCCATGAATTCCATACCCAAGACAATTGGATAGTCATCCATGGTGACAATGGAGAAGTCTACGAGGCCGTTCCAATCGCCCAGGCTTACCTTGACATCGCGAGCAACTCCAAAGGTAGCCCTCGGTCCTGAATTGACTGCCTTAAGCCAACCACGTTCTCCTTGGTAGTGAATGCCCAACTTTTTAGCCTCTTCCACTCTAAGGAAGTTGTTGGAAGCTCCCGTGTCCACAAGTGCTTTGACGGTGTGTCCTCCAATCTCGGTTTCCACAAATAACCGTCCCTTCCTTCCGGACTTGGGCATCTCCACCTTTGCCTTAATGGCATTGAGGAGTTGTAGGGATCCTACTTTCTCCTCTTCTCGTTCCCGTTCCTCCCTTTCCTCGATCAATGCTGAAAGTTTAGCCTTCTTTGGGCAATCCCTGGCTTTATGTGGTCCTTCACAAAAGAAGCATTTAAGTGATGGCCTTTCTCCAGCTTTGTACTCCTTGGGACCCTTCGACTTGTCCGTGGTCTCCTTGCCTCGGTGATGCTCTCCCCCACTCTTTCCCTGCCGCCCTTGTCTTTTGGTTTGGCTTCTCGGGTTTCTTGAACTCAATAAGGGACTCGGCAATGGAGATAGCGGTGGTCAAGTCTTGAGCACCACGTCTCTGGATCTCAAGTTTAGCCCACTGTTGCAATCCATCCATAAAGGCAAAGAAAGCTTCTTTATCAGGATAGTCAGGGATCTCAAGCAGTACCTCGGTGAATTCCTTCACATACTCGCGAATGCTTCCCTTGTGTTGAAGACGCCTTAGCCTACCCCTAGCCTCTTCTTCAACATTGCTAGGATAAAATTGCTTCTTGAGCTCACCCTTGAATTCGCCCAAGTGTCTATGGTGCAAGTGCCTTTCTCTATGTCCCCTTGTCTCCTCCTCCACCATACCATAGCGGTGTCCTCGAGGTAGAGACATGCCATGCTAACCTTAAGTGCATCGTCGGTGACGACGTTTGCTCGGAAGTATTGCTCCATACTCCATAGAAAATTATCTAGTTCCTTCGCATTTCTTGTCCCTTTGAAAGCCTTAGGTCGTGGAACATCTACTTTAGAGGATGTAGTCCTTACCTCGGACGTTGACGGACTTTCTTGTGCAAGAGCCTTCTTGCACAAGATGAGCTCCTCTTCGGCATTCTCCAACTTACGCGAGACCCTCGCGAGTTCCCCACGAATCGAAGAAACCTCATCCCTGTGAGACTCTTCCATGGCCTTCATCCTGTCGAGACATTGGGCGAGGACTTTGTTCATGGCGGCTTGCATCTCCTCACGGAACTCGTCCATGCTTTGCCCCATCTCCTCGAACTTCTCCTCCCCGTCGGCTATTGCGAGCTCCACCTTGGCTAGCCGTGTCTCAAAACCCTCCATGGTTTCCCTTGAACTAGAGCTCTGGGATTTAGATTTCTTCTTGACTCCCTCGGACATATTGATAGTCTCGCTTCCGCCTTCCATCTTCCTCTATGTTCCAACGATCTTCAAACCTTGGCTCTGATACCAACTGTCACGGACTTGGTCGTAATTCCAACGAACCGTGCGGCCTAGCAAACTTCTTGCCTTAAGTTGCTAGTCAGCCTAACTCACGAAGGAACACGATGGAACAAGAGACTCAAAGAAAGAGCTTTGTATTGATCTCTCGAAGTACTTACAACACTCTCACTTTCTTGAGTGTGTCAAATGAATGAGGGGGAGGGGGTATTTATAGTTCTCCACCTCCTCAATGGACGGCTAAGATCTACTTGATCCAACGGTTACAATCTCGTATCTAGAATACTCTACAAAAATATCTAGATATTTACAAAGGGGTTAGGTGTCTCTACAATTATCTATAATGTTCTGGAACCTTCCAAGCTTCCCCATCAAGCTCCACACATTTCTAGAGAGTTCCAGACTTACCCAAGACTTTGTTGGACACCTTTGGACAGTTCTGGGCAGCGAGCCTTTGTGTATTTTGGGCAAAACAGGAGCGGTGCGTTACAGCCTGCGCGCAATCATATTTCTATTGTAAATTTGAACCTATCTTGGTCTCCGAGTCAATATTTTTTCTTCCGTGACCCCACGCCCCCACTTAACATAAAAACTGGTAATTAATTAATTTGTAGATATTTCAGCTCAAAAAAATTAATTTGTAAATATTTAAAAACTAATTAAGTTGTTTATTTATAATAAATATATGTTAGTTTTTCTAAACTTTTTTTTTTTAACTATGTGCATTGAACTTTCTCCTTGGTAAAAACTAAACCCTCTTAATGTGTCATCAATATGAATCTTTTGAAAAAAAAATTAATATAAATTTGAGAGATAAAATCAATTAAAATCTTATAAGTATTTAGGATAATCCAAACCCTAACTAGCTTTTTTTTCCCCCTAATAAAAGGATCAATTATACATTAAAACTAAAGGATACGAAGAGTCAGAAATAAACATAAATAAACATGAAACCCAACTAGAAGGGACCATGATGCTAAACAATAAAACAATGAACCACCATGAAAGGTAACATCTGTAAAACACCTACGACCATGAAAGAATGAAAAGTACTAACTCCAACTAGTTGATAAATTTAGGAGATTAAAAAAATTATTAAGTTAATTATTTGTAATAAATGGATATTCTTTTTCCTAAAATATCATTACTAATCATATGTATTAACTAGAATTATCATTTAATAAAACATTTCATACGTACAACTATTATAAGAACTATATAGGAAAAAATGGATTTTATTTTTTTGCATTCGGCTTGTAATATTTTAGTCACTGTAAATTTGAATGAATTTTAATGATGATTTTGATATTAATGATTATTAATTTTAGTTATTGATGAATTGTAAAGATAAAAATTTCTCAATAATGTTGCACTTTGGTATTGTTGTAATCAAATTATTGTTATATTTCCTTGTATTTTGTTATTTGTGATTATTAATATTATTGTATTTTGTTATTTTTAATTAAATTATATGATTTTAATATGACTAGTTTGATCCTGAGTTAACCTTGGTCTGATTAACTGACTTTTGAATTATTATCCCAATCCGTTTAGTGCCGGGTCTGATTTTTTGTCCCTTAAGGCAAGCAAATAAAATAATAGGAACCATTGAATCTCACATTCTACCAAATCAGCTTTTATATTATAAACTGGAGCTAATATTATTTTACAATAAGAAAAATAAAATGAGAAGATCCAACATCAAGATTGCAGTTTTTCTTCAAAATTTTAAAATTTATCACTCACATATATAGCATAAATTTACCAATATTTACCATTTACATAATACAAAATTAACCAATTCTGGTATTTTCTTGTAATAATTTTTTTTAGAGTTCTCCTAGTCCTAGTTATAAGAAATAGTAGCCTTTTATCCGATGGCCAAAAAAACCTTTTATCTTGAGCACTTATAAAATTTTTTCTGCTCTTAATATTTATTAATAAAATCAATCGCTAAAAATTATCAACCAATTTTAAATAAGGATATTTCTGAAACATAATTTTTTTAAAATGTTAGTTAGTTATCCATCCCTTATAAAGAGTAACAGAGCAAGTATTTATCAAACGCGACAAAGTACACACTTTTTTTAATCAAATTATTTTCTTCTGATTCTTTAATGAATATCTGGGAAAACAAAAAACAACAAAAATTCAATAATGGATCAGGACCTTTCGTTTACTCGCTAGCACGCACCCCGCCTATCCACTCCGGCCTATATAAAATATACCAGAACAGAGCATTATATACCCTTTATCGCAGAAATTAGTATCCACCCAGAATTATGAGCAGCCACCGCAACCACGTTCTGGTTTTACCATTTCCAGCTCAAGGACATGTGAATTGCCTCATGATCCTCTCTAATAAACTAGCCCAACATGGCCTCAGAATCACCTTTGTGAACTCAGATTTCAACCACAGACGAGTGGTGAAGGCAATGAACGAGGAGGAGGAAGCAGAGAAGAAGAAGAGGAAATTGCCTGTGGAATTAGCGTCCATCTCAGATGGTATGGGTCCTGAAGATGACCGAAACAACGTGGCTAAACTAATGCTGGCAATTTTAAGAACAATGCCCTCAGAGCTTGAGAAGCTCATCGAAGGCATTAATGGCAGAGGAGATAGAATTACGTGTGTGGTGGCAGATGTAAAGATGGGATGGGCCTTGGAAGTCTCGCATAAGCTGGGTATCAAAGCTGCTGTTATCTGTCCTACAACTGCTGCTGTTTTTGCCTTGGAACTTCACATGCCCAAGCTGATTCAACATGGATTGATGGATTCTAATGGTAACATAATTTTTGCCCTTTCTTCTTCTCTTTCCTCTTTTAGCTTTTAGTACACTGAGGACTTATTTTAAATGACTTATAAATAATTTCTTAATTATAATTTACAGAATATAAAGTAAATATATGATTAGAGTTTTGTCTTAATTTACGTAAAAATATTTATATGCATTTAAAATAGGAAGATACAAATAAGCTCAGTCATTGATATGCATATCCTTACTTACTACTCTCTTGGTTACAAAGTACTTCTTTGGTCCTATTTATAGGGCAGTGAGAAAATTTTTTATATGAATGTACAATTTTACCCCTCATTTATTATTGTGTTGACTTTGTCTATATGAGGTATAGTGTATATTAAATAGGGATAAAACTAAAAAGTCATTAAATTTTAAATTAGAGTTAATGAAGTTTAAGATTTTTCTTGGTTTGTGTGAAATATACTGGAAGTGTCTTATAAATAGGACTAGAAGAGTACTATAAAAGTTGGACAAGGAGCTTGTTTTGGTTTCAAATTTAATTTGTAGTTTTCTCAAAGTATTCTTATCATAGTAAAGGGGTTTTTATCAAATGCAGTTCCAATACACGCAATTGATAGTTTAAGAAAATTGACACATCTATTATAAGTAACTAAATGAATTAGATTTTTTTTAATACTTGCAAAACGGGCCGTATGCTAGAATCATTTCAGAGTTTGGGTATATTTGTTTGCGTATAGAAAAAGCACAATCATATTTAGTTTCCCGTGAATCCTTCAATTTGTAAAATCAAACTTACAGGAAAGTGAAAAATTGTAGAACAATGGTACACAGCCACATACAGTCACACACATATAGGGTTAGGCGAGCAAAGTACACGAGGGGTTGGGGGAACACATACAGTCACACACATATAGGGTTAGGGGAGCAAAGTACACGAGGGTGGGGGAAGAAACTTTTGTTGGGCTTGATATGTGACAATATATCAACAAGTTGGATACATTAATACCTAACAATGTTTTGAATAGGATTGTTTTTAATAGGAGGATACCTATTGCTAATAAAAAAAAGATACGTAACAATATAGAGAATCTTGAAAATCTCTAAGCATTTCCAAAGTCAATTAAACAAGAATTTATTGTTTTTCAGAAACCATCCATTTTTGGTAAACGAAACCGTCTTTTTATTTTATTTCAAAACAATATAATTTTGATTTTTCTTTAGAATATTGATTTTCACTATCCCATTGTTTCTATTTTATCCATTGTTAACTATTTATTTTACAAAGAGAACACAAATAAAGTGATAATAAAAATATTAATGCTAAAATTTAATTTCTTACCGTCTAAAATGCCTATATATATTAATTATTGTAATATATTAACATATTTTTAAATATCAGAACAATTAAATATAATAAACTCACAAAACTTATTGATAAATTTTATTCTGGTCGACTTTATATAATAATTATGTCCATAGGTAAGCTCCGTAAATCTTTCCATACCTATGCCTTGACATATTACTATATAGGAAAATGGGAAAAATCACTACGAGTCCTAAGAAAAGAATATAATTATCTAAAAGTTTCAATATAAGTGAACAATATGAAATTTATTGTCATTTCTTGTATTAGAATTTGTCATTTACTAGTTACGAGATTTTTTTTTTGTAATTGCATTTCTTTTTTAAAATCATATTGTGATTTCCTGTATTGCAGGATTGCCAATATAAAAGGGGAATTTGAGATATCCCCAGATATTCCGAAGATGAACACATCTGACATTGCATGGTGTTGTATTGGAGACTTAGACTCTCAAAAGACTATTTATGATTACCTTGCAAGAACGATAAAAGCTTCACACTTAACAGATTGGTGGCTTTGCAATACAACTTTTGAACTTGAACCTGGAGCCTTATCCTTATACCCTAAGATCCTACCCATTGGACCATTAATGGAGAGCCATGAGAACCTAAGTACTCGGTCACTTGGGCAGTTTTGGGAAGAGGATCTTTCTTGCTTAAGATGGCTAGACCTGCAACCATCATGTTCAGTCATTTACGTTGCTTTTGGTAGCTTCACTGTGTTTGATCCAACCCAATTCAAAGAGCTAGCTTTAGGACTTGAGCTTACCCAAAGGCCTTTTCTTTGGGTTGTTCGGGAAGATACACATGGGGGAGGCACAAAAATAGCATATCCAGACGAGTTTGAGGGCAAAAAGGGAAAAATTGTTAAATGGGTACCTCAGAAAAAGGTTTTGAGCCATCCTGCCATAGCTTGCTTTGTTAGCCATTGTGGCTGGAATTCCACCATGGAAGGTTTGAGCAATGGAGTGCCTTTCCTGTGTTGGCCATATTTTGCAGACCAATTCTTTGACAAGAATTGTATTTGTAATGAGTGGAAGGTGGGACTGGGATTTGATTCAGATGAAAAAGGAATAATCTCACGCCAAGAAATCAAGAAAAAAGTGGACATGTTGCTTGAAGATGAGAGCATAAGGGCAAGGTCCTTGAAGCTAAAGGATATTATGATGAATAATATAAAGGAAGGGGGTACTTCAATGGAGAACTTCAGGAAATTCTTGGAATGGGTTAAACTGTTAGATGCTTAAGTTGGAAAATTCATTTTTTGATGAAGAGAAGTGTACGTGAGTTGAGTCTCAGTTTAAACACAAAAAACATTCATAGATTGTCCACTAATAAATTTTTCATATTAATATGAAGATTTGAACTCACAGTCTTATGAGTTATAAGCTGACTTATTACCAAATAAACCAACTCTTGTCGGTCACATTGGAAAGTTCTATAAATTAGTAATTATGTATTATCGTTTACAAAACAAAAACTATGGATTATCATTAATTAACTATGTGAACAAATATTTATTTAAGGCAATTTTTTTTTGAAATAATAAACCTGTTAGGCCTTGGTTTATAACTTACTTGCATTATTACATAAAAAGGCTATACTAATCTGTTATTTTTAGTCTCATTCGACTGTTTTTAGTGTTCAAGTATGTTGCGGTTAAATTCTGAGTCCATATTTAACCATTTTTAACTGCCACAAAACATTACAAGGTTGAAAGGAAACTAATTAAATTGTGGGTTATGTTACTTATACAGGTCGCTGTTTCAAAACTCCATTAATTTTTTATGAGATGGGAAACAAAAATCTTATTTTCTGAGACGCGTCAAGCCTTCATCACCTTTAATTGAGATCATATTCACAGAGTATTTAGCTTATCTTTGAACAACGCAATATCAATGAATATTTGTTCATGCGTGATGGAAACAAGCACAAGGAAAAGGATCCTCTGTTTTCGGTCCCCAAAACAGAGGCAATCTAAATAATATTGTAGTAGCATATGAGTACATAATTGTTCGACTATTGTTTTTTCAATATAAAAACTAAATACTCCTCCTGTCCTTAATATAAGATCCATTTAACTAATTTGATTAGATTAAGAAAGTTAGGTAACTTGGTTAATTATAAGAAATATGACATGTTTTTCCTAAAACACCATAATCATCTTTCTTAATACTTATTATTTTCTTCTACTTGATTATAGCTGAGAGAGTATTTATAGGGGTAATTTAGAGAAAATTGATAAATATGAGAAATAAGTCTTATATTTAGGACCAAAACCAATTCAATAATTGGGTCCTATATTAAAGATTGGAGGAGAGTAATTAATTTATAAATATTAAAAAAATTAGTTAAATCATTAAAATTATCACACTTCTCACCACAACTAACTCTAGTTGATACACATTACCAAATATTATTCACTAGCGAGGAGGGAAAAAGACGAGGTTTAAGTAATAAATATGCAAATAAATAATAAGATGGGGGTGGATATTATTGTGGATCAACTGTGATGGAAAAAAGGTATGATCAGAAGAAATCCTTGATTTTGGGGTCAAGCGCATGGGAAGCAAGGATGGAATAGGCCTTCTATGTTGGATGGTGGCTGTCCCAGAAAATGTCAGCTCAGTCATTTGAAGTTTTGAACACAACTCTGTAGGGTAAGGGTCGCACGTAATTCTGACATCTATATCTCCAATGCCCCAGCATCCTTTTCTCTGTTACTTCAAATCCTAGCATAAATAACCATACATACAGCAAAGTTGGTTAAAAGATTATCAAATTAGCAGTTGGTGAAGTGTCAATTAAAATCAGCAAACTTGATCTCTCGTTGTTTCCTCCTCCTCGGACTCTGAGCCACCACATCTCGTGCAGTGTACTTCCTTATTGAGCAGGATGTTGAAGCATATGAAGAAGTGGGGGTATAGCAATCCAAGTAGACAAGTATGGCCTCTAGCAAGTTGTTAAGCAAATCAATTTGAGAGGAGATTTTAGAGTTAAATTGGATAGCTGCTTGGTTTTCAAAGTCTGAGCATTCTCTCTGTACGCCTCCTCCTATTGTTCTCTGTGAGGGCACACACCTAAAACTGGTAAATTGAACACCCCAATCCTTCTCGCTCCTAATCCATATGGTTCTTGCAAATTACACGCCCACATGTACAATTCATTTGATGATTTTGACTCGAAAATAGTTAAATATGTTTAAACTTGGGTTTAAAAAGAAATTTTTCTCTTGCATGAGTTTTTAAAAATAAATAGCAACCATAACAAGTATTCCCTCTGATTTTTACCATAAGAGCTAGATAACTAATTTGTTAATATTTTTGCTTAAAAAAATTTGTTAGTATTAAAAAATTAGTTGAATTGATTATTCATAACAAATATGCGTTGATTTTTCTAAAATGTCCTTTTTAGCTATGTGTATCGTAACTTCCTCTTGATACACTATCAAGAAACGTGCAATTAGCGATGAAATTTATTTCGTCGCTAATTCTTTTGTCGCTAAAAGGATTAGTGATAAAATTTTAATTCTGTCACTAATTACTGACGAAAATTTTTTGTCGCTAAATAGTGATGAAAAGTTTCAGTCACAAATTAGAGACAAAAAAATTTTGTCGCTAATTTTATTTTTTTAAAAAGTAATTAAAATGTCATGGGGCGCTTCTACCAATTGTCACCTCATCACCCGCGATGGCCGTATGAGCACCTCTATGTAATTCCTCCTCAAAGTGACTTCCCAAAAATCTCATCTATGCATGCGAGGCTTCACCAGTTGAGCTGCAATGAACTTGCTGACTTATTATGGAAAATTAAATATATATATATATATTTTTTACACAAATAATTATATATACACATATATATTGTTAGAAACTAAAAATAAACTATATGATAATTTAATCATAACTATTTTTGTGACAAAATAATTTCTAAATATTTTTTTTACTATTTATTTTATAATTTTTTATTTTTTTAAAAAATATTTTAAATATAATATTAATTTCCAATGACACTAATTTTGAATTTTGAATTTAATTTTTTAATTAACATTTTGGGCCAAAGTTTTTTAATTAACATCGATAAGATATATAATTTAATTATATATGTATTATATTACATTATATTATATTATCTATATGTGTTTTATATATTCGGTGAAAACCATTTATAATTAGTAAAAAATCTTGTTATTCAAAAAATAGCTACCATAATAAAATCTAATAGATTATTCTATATAAGCAAATTAAATGATTTGAATAGATTATGATGAACAATATTCTCCTACTTATATATATTCTATATAATTTAATTTTTTTAAAAAATTCTTTCTATATACCATTGTTTTTATGTTGAAGACCAAAATCAATCTGTATTATGGGTATTAATTATATTATAATCAAATTTCATTGTTTACTGATTGAAATTCAAAATTCACTTCAATATTAGTTTGATATATATAATAAATTGAGCTGTTCATATAAATTCATTGTTCGGTTTTGAATTTCTATCATATATTACATCCTTCAATATATTCTACATATAATAGAATTTTTTTTCTTTCTTATATCAATTTGCATAATAAAGTTATTAATATTCTTATCATATTTGTTTAATTATTATTAATAATCAAGATGAATTGATTTTAATGAAATATAAACAAGTTTTTTAAGGAATTGTCTTCCAAATCTCTATGTATCTAATAATAAGATAAGTGATAATGATATCTTCATTAACATTAACTTCACAAATATATCAATTTATTTTACAATTAAAAATATGTTAAAATCATTATATTCTTAATCATGTTATTATATAAATTGTTGTAAGATTATAATTTAAAATAATGAAAATTAAAATTAGTGACGGAAATATTATTGACAAACAATTTAGTGACGGAAATTACTAGCAACGGGATTTTCTCATCGCTAAAATTTATAATTAAATTTTGTGATGGAATTAGGGATAGAAATTTCTGACCAAAAAAATTCCATCACTAAATATTTATTAATGGATTTTTTAACGGATTAGTGAAAATTCCGTCACTAAATTTAGTAATAAAATTGTTCTCAGTAATCCATCAGAAATTAAAGACCGAATAATTTTTCGTCACTAATTCTATCAATAATAAGCTATTTTTTGTAGTGATATAGAACTTCCTTATTAATTGTCTGCAACAAATAGGAATATTTTGTAGGAAAAAAATATGAGCCACATATTGGGTGGGTTCTTTGTTAGAGGGGCCTTATAAGGTCTTGGGTTCTCTGACTCCAACAACTAGTTTTTAAGATGTGGTTCTCCAAAGGATTTATACTTATTACATTGATACTTTTTCATTTAATATATTATTATTTTCAATTTTTATAAATATAATAAACAGTATATATTTCTAAAAGAATTCCCGTTTTATGACTATACCATTTTTATTGACCAGAAAAAACGTGGCAGTGGAAGTTGGGCTAACGGTGGAAATAAAATGCCTATGAATGGTAACATAGTGGGCATGTGTCATCTGCCAACCTCATTATCGCTGTACCTGAAAACATCAACAACATGCGTGTGCTATAGTTGAAATTGAAGAATCAAGACTTTATATCATAGATATAAAGTGGTGGATAAATATGCACAGCATATCTTCTTTGATTAAAAAAAGGATAAAAAAACTAATATAAAACTACGACACTACCAGAAAAAAGGCTTTTCACGGCGGTTAATAGTGGCTTTTCACGGCGGTTTTGAAGGTGAAGTTGATAAAGGCGACGTTGAGGAAGGTAAAGAAAAACACGGCGGTTCTTAGTAAACCACCGTGGAAATTAATATTTCCACAGCAGTTCTTAGAAACCACCGCGGAAATTAATATTTCCACGGCGGTTAAACAAAAAATCGCCGTTGAAATTTAACTTTCAACGGCGGTTTTTTGTCTTAACCGCCGTGGAAAATACTTTTAATGGCGGTTATAAATATAACCGTCGTTAAAAATATTTTTTTAAAATTCTACTTGATTTTCATTTTTACCACCCTGCAATTTACAGTTCCAAATAAATGTAGGCAGTGCAGAATACGCAGAACAAGATCAATTAGCTAGTTAATATATATACAGCATTGAAATTCTTTTACACAATGCGAAAATAGGGAAACCGGCCAATAGAACTAAGGGGTTAATTAAGACCAAGGAACACGTATTGGCTAAGACCAATAATTCTGAAATTGAAGTAACTACTTCTCTGTACAATAGAAATCATGAACATGT